TATATATTTCTCGCATTGTGATAAAACAACGGTACATAGAGTCATCGAATTTTGAATGACTTAATCCTCCTACAAATATGGGCATGTGAAAGACCAAATTTGGAATTTGTTCTATTATCGATTTCATATTTTGTAAAACTTAAACAAAAATTTTTTGTAACAAACTGAACGATTTAAAAGCGAGCAATGGCAACACTCTACGGCGGGGGAGGGGGGGGAACCTTTTTATTTCCAGTGGGCGCAGAACTGTGTATCGGAAATTCTAAAGATATGCTCATTTTAAAATTATTTTGCGACATTCCTATTGAACTGAATTTTATGGTTTAAGTGCAAAGAACATGATATTTAATAAATAAAGGTAACACACAAAACATTTAAAAAACGCCCCTGTGGATGTATTTTAAAATCTGCAACCTACCTCTTTCCCCCCGCAGTATACCTAGAGCTCTGAGTTTGAAATCTAGTATACGCATTTTCTTTTGTGTAGATAACTTTTATCATCATTATTATTATTTAGAAACATTATTTATGAAATGCATTACTCAATGCAGTAATGTAAAAATAAATTATACTTTTTATTAATAATCAGTTATATAAATTTTGCAATTTTTCCAAGCAGTCTTTTTGGGGGATGAAGGTTAACTACTGAAGTAGTTTCATCTAATAGCTGCTCTTCATAATATGAAGCAAGACTGATGTGATATCCACAAAATTTTGCCACTTTATTGTTGCAAGGGTGATTTGGAAAATGGCTTCATTTGGCTGCAAATAAAAGATGCTTATAGATTCACTAAACATTTTATTTGTATCTGAATAGTGCAGTTCTATTTTTTGATATAGTCACAGTGTAAATGCATAGCTATCGTACCTCAACTTGCCATAGTATTTCATGACTCTCAAATCCCTTCTGCATAAAACTTTGCTGGCTGAGATTTTAACCAACCTGTTGCAGCATTTTGAAGATCCTCATTGTCAGAGAAGTGCTGCACCTCAAGCCAGTTCTTCAAATACCCTAACAGATGGCATCAATAGTAGGCAAGTTCCGGACTATATGGGAGGATGATCAAAAATGTTTATTTGAATTGGCACAAAACCTCTTGTGTGAGGGTGAGCATTGTCATGCAGGCGTGCAACCCCAGACATCAGCAGACTGTGCTTCTTGCTCTCAGTGGCTCTACTCAGTTCTTCAGAATGTTACCGTAAACTCCAAATGTGATTATCATACCAGGTTCAATGAATTTGGCAAGCCCAATTCCTTTAGCATCCTGAAAGGCAGTGCCCATAACATTGCGTGTTGAGAAAGTTTGATAGTCTTCCGTCAGCTTGTTTGAAGAACCAGTGTAACGCCTTGCCATTGACTGTAGTATTGCCTGAGCATTCATGTTACATCACCTGTCTTGTCATCACTTACTGTTCCATTCAAAAAATTCATCCCTTTCTGTGTTGTTCTAGGAAAGAAAGTCTAGCACAGAGCTCATTTGATTGGGAGTCTGTGAGAATTTTGGAAGCCCACAGACTGTGAACTTCCATTAGCCTAATTTTCAAGTGACCACAATGTACAGAACTGTTGAGAGATGTCCAGAAAGTTTCGAGATTTTAAACGGGCAATTTTAATGAGCTTCATTGTTAACATCGTTATGATGAATGCTTGTTTTTCGTATTTTGAAAAATCTGATCTACTCATCCTCAACATCTTCACATATAATGTTTCTGCCATATCAGCATACAGTTCTTGATGTATGTCATGAATGTCTGCCACTGACAGATTTTTCGTCCAAAGAAATCGTGTTACTCTGCATGTCTCACATTTGCAGGGATTTTTGATGACAGTCTACATTTTGTGACCTTACAGACAGCAGGTGCATGGCAGTACATATTCTCACTTGCACATAGCTGAAAGTCTCCTGAATCATAGATAATGTGATCTAATAAAGGTGATGCTCTGACCACGGCACTATTAAAATTTGATTTTCTTTATATGTTTTGTGATTTTTTATCCCATAGCACATAAGTGATAAAGTGATAGTCAAAACTTTATAATTTACAAAATAAATATATGTAAAATATAAAAAAATAGGACAGCTGTGCTCTATGCAAACAAGCAACCTGTAATTAACTTTCTGCAATTTCAGGATCCCCCCCTCTAGACTAGTACTTTCGAGAACATTCCAGCCTATTACATAACTGCTTCTAGAGGAGAGACTGCTTTCTCCCTCTGCTATTAAGGTCTATGTTGTTGCTCTCATCTGCCTCCCTTTGTTAGACTATTATGACGCATTGAATTTAATCTTATTTTAGCAAAGATTGATAATATGCCTTTTAATTGAATAAAGCTGTGGAATCAAAACAATTAACTTCTGTGTCATCATTTCTACCAAGCTTCATTTATGTGCCCGACTGCCAAAATATTACATATACATTGGCTATTAAAGTACAGGGTTATCCAAATTAAACTACCCCAACTCAGAGGCCTGTGCAGAGTGTTGTATGGGTTATAATGTGATGAAATTTTAAAAGCAGACACTTCAGATCATGCGCTCGAGATTTATTAAACAAAAAAAATTAGTACAAGAAGTTGCCGATAGGTGGCGCTGCAGATCAACAAGACATTCTACAGATGTTCTATATGTGTGCATGGTTCTTCACAACTCTTTCCAATCGCAAAGCAGTGTGTTCCACAGCGGAACGCAGCAAGTCCACATTAATTCCACGAACATGTCGAATAATTGCGTCTTTCAGATGTGCCAAAGTTGCTGGGTGTTCTCGGTAGACCCGATCCTTTAAGAATTCCCATAACCAAAAGTCGCATGGCGTGAGATCAGGCGAGGGGGGAGGCCAAGCTGTAGGGAAACAGCGGCTGGTCACATGTGCATCGGTAAAAGTTGCCCGTAACACCTGTTGAACGCCACGAAGAATATGGGGAGGTGCACCATCCTGCATAAATATCGTATCCTGGAGGCGGCCACGTTGTTGCAGTTCAGGGATCACAAACATTGTCAACATGTCCTGCACCGTTTTCCTGTGGCAGAGCAGGTTTTGAATCCTGTTGGAGTCACCTCTTCAAAAAAGTAAGGCCTAATGACGAATGTTGCAGTGAAACCGCACCATACAGTAACCTTTGGAGGGTTCAAGGGCACTTGATGCATTGCGCGTGGGTTTTCACTTGCCCAAATGCGGCAGTTGTGTGTATTCACTTGATCATTCAGGTGAAAATGGGCCTCATCCGTCCAAAGGATGTTCCACGGCCAAGCAGCATCGACTTCCATTCTGGCAAGGAACTGCAACGCAGATGTTTCCCGAACTTCAGGATCCCCGTCAGACAGCTGATGTCAACTATGAATTTTGTAAGGAAAATAACCGAGGATTTGACGCATCACATGCTAGACGGTCGTATAGGGCATATCAACAGCACAAGAAACAGTTGGCACACTGACAACACCATGTGGTGATTGGCTAGTGGGGTCCACGACTGCCAAAGCAATGTCTTCTACACGTGCAGATTCCACAACCTGTTGTCTTTTACCTAGTAAAATTCCCAGCTGTCCCTTCCTTTTGAACTTCTTCATCATGTCTCGTAGAGCGTGTGGTGTCATTCGTCCTCGGCATAAGATCTTCAGCCGACAGAATGCTCTTATCGCAGCACAGGAGTTCTCGTCATTCTGGTTGAAAAGTTTCACTAACAGAGCTTTGTCTTTCAAAGTCGCCATTGTGCATCAGCGAGCTGGAAACAACTGCCTGTGCAAGGCCTGTCTTCCACTTTTGTAGAGCTCGTCTTTTGGATATGTTGCGCAGAAGCTTTATTTCTGCAAATCACGTTGCTGCAATATACACATTACTAGTGTTACAGCGGCCACGGTTATCTACCAGTAAGTTCTTGACTAATTTTATTTGTGTAATAAATCTCGAGCGCATGATCTGAAGTGTCTGTTTTTAAAATTTCATCACATTATGACCCATACAACACTCTGCACAGGCCTCTGAGTTGGGGAAGTTTAATTTGGATAACCCTGTATATTGTAAAACATAAACATATAATAAAAAATACTGATGCATGTTCTAAATGATATATCACATATACATATATATGTGAGAATTTTTTATGGATGTTAATGAAATGTGAAGAAAAGATATTTCAAATCGAATTTTAAATTGTATTAAATCTCCGTTCATTATGCCTTATGTCAAATATTTTTATGTTTTAAATATTATTATGACAAGCACATTACTATTAAATATAAACAAATGTTTAGTAAAATCTAAGTTTATTTTAATTATCTTTTTATAAATTTTGTCTTACTCAATTATTTTTATTATCTCTTTAAAACATTTTTATGAATAAATTTTCTTTCAAAACAAAAATTTAAAAGACTTTGTAATACTTATTAAAAAAAAAGCGGTGCTGCAAGCAAACATTATGATTAAAACTGAGAATAAAATACTAATAAGGCCATCAAAAAATTCAAATTTAAATAAGAGAGCCCCAGTGTTCTTGTTTATTTTTGAGAGGTAAGCATCCATGCATTACATCTGTACTTATAAAGTTCTCAATAATTATGCAGAATTTGTGTTGAATCATTAAAGCCATTGATTTTTACTTCCCTTATTATGGGAAATGATATGCTGTATATTCCTTGAGAACTTAATGCTATTGTAATTGGTAAGTCATATTTGAATCTGTTAATAATAATTATTAGGTTTATTTTAATGTGTTATTTGTTCAGTTTTCTTGAAATTCTCCCATTCTCTTCTTCACTGATGTTTTTAAAATCAGGAGTTGCATTTCACAGTTGAATTTGTTTCAGAATGGAGGAAGCATTGTTTGTTACAAAACTTAATTATAACAAAGCTAAATTCTTCAGTTATTGATTTTTTTTATTAGTACGGTTTTAAAAACCTTGTAGATGTGTTATATCTATGTATAATTGCTATAGAAAAAGTTTTTAATTTATTCATCATTTTCAAATATGGAATATTTATACAGTCTTAACACCTTTTTTTAGCCTGAAACCATCCCAATTAAAAAAGCAAATGTTGAAGAATATGAAAAACATTTTCATCAGAATGAAGATGATGTGTCACTTATTGAAGTTCGAGCTAACAAACCTAATTTTGAAATAGGTTCATCTGTTCCACTTTCATGTTTAAAAAAAGGTGAGACCTATTAATATATATATATATATATATATTTCCTCTTTTAATCCAACACCAGGACTTCATTTTTTTTTTTTTTCAGCCTATTTTCTCTGTTGGTCAGGCCAGTAAAGTCTTGACATGAGCAAAAAATTGACATGTACTCTAAATTATTATCTGCAATGCCAATTAAGATAAGAAAATATAAAACATCATCCAAGTTTTATCTAGAAGAGGAAAAGGTTGTGTGCTGCAGTTTAAAGCTCGCTTTTCATTCTTACTGTCAAGTTGCACCATGATCCACTACTAATACTTTTGTTTATTATTTTGTACCATGTATTGAACAGTATCAAATCAGCATCAGATCAAAATTGTATCTGAATACATCCTGCCATATACCCAGGCATGCTTCTTGCCTTAGAGAGCTCTGTCTACATAATGTCTCAATTGAAGTAGTCCTGCATATGTTCATATTGATGGATAAATCCCGTTGAATTATCTATTCAAGGGAGTAACTTTAAACATTGACCATGTTTTTGAAAGTAGCCATAGGCAAATTTCAGACCCTCAAATGGCATGATCATATTGATAATGCTTAAAGTCTCACATTCAGAATCTTAGATTTTCTATTGTCCAGTTTTCTGAAAAATTCATTATACAATATGCCCTAATAAATAAGAAAGACTGGGACCACATAACCCAATCATGTGGAACAGGTTTATTTAATGGTTTAGGTAAGTAAATAGCAAAAGTAAATCAAAAGGAAAATGAATTTTTTAACTATTATATATTGCATGGCTGAGAATAATTTTTAGTAAGTGCTGTATGACACATGGTTTATATTCTTTTTTTTTTTTTTTTTTTTTTTTTTTTTTTTTTAACTTTTCTTGCTGAGCATCTTTGTCTATAGAGTTTATTCAATGAGAAAATGGTCTCCTGTTGTAATAAGTGAGATTAAATTTCAGCTATTTTGATTTCTTTAAATATTTACATGGGCTTACTATAATCTTTCTTCCATGTATAATTACTTGTTCTGCTAAGAAATTAATGAATGATGAAAGTTGCTTGATTTTACAGTTCACTCCATCCTTTATCAAGAAATTTATAGAAATCATGAACCACTTTTCAAAAACTTTGAGCAACATAATTCAGTGTCTTCATCTATTTCTTAGAAGTAAGAAAGCAGAAAATGTGCTACATTATCCTTCTGTGCTAGTAGTATTTGCTTACTTTGGGATAACCCTCTCTTCAATAATCCCATCTGTGTTCACTTCTTATTTGCCTCCATATATGTTAATGTCTTGTACGTAACCTGTCAAGAGTTCAGAATGCTACCATATTTTTATACCTTGCTTTACCCATTTCATTAGCATACTATTTTTTTACCTTCCCTTCCATAATGAAGTTTAAAGTGCAGAATTGAGGTGTATATTTTCAACAGTAAAGCAAGACAATCCCATGAGGTACATATGCCTAAATTAAGGTAGAAGATTAACAATGCCTATCGTCATAACACTTTTCAAATTATTGCATCTCAAAAAGTTTTTAGCTATTTCTTTTCAGTAAATTAGTGTAGTGTAAAATAACAAGCATATGCAATTGATTGATTCTTCATTTTATTTAGTATAACTTTAATATTAAGAGCTGTTACGATTGATCTCTTGGAGCTACCATACATTGAAATAGAAGTGACTACTCAAATGGAAGTTGTTTATTTGTTGCTTGGTCAATTTTATTTAAATTATTTGAGATTAGGAAAATGAGAGTTAAATACATTCCTTGACAATCTTGAGAAAAGCATTTATTTACTTTTGAATTGGCAAATAATTAGCGGTTACTGTTGTGTTGTAAATTTTCCTTCAAGAAACAACTGCAGAACCTTTTAATCTGTGATGAAAGATAAAAAAGTTCTTAAAAGAACTCTTAAATTGTTATGTTGCCATGGTATTCATTACAAATAAGTTTTAATTTGATGTAACATATCTGCCTTAAAAAAATTTTGCTTTTATTATGCCTTAAACATATATTACTATTCCTTATGTATGGTTTTATTTTTCTTGTTGGTCTTTAAGAAATATTATGCTACAAGTATTAGTGTTATAATTTTTTGTTTTTTAAAATTAATTCCATTTTAATTATTAAATTTTTTCATATTTTTTAGTTTGATTATTCTATATTGCAGATATATTAAATTTTTTATTTCACTTTTAGCTTCAAAGAAGGTTGATGCCAATGCTGCTAAAATATGGATGCTGTCTGCTGATGATACACTGGATGAAAATGTTGAATTAATAAATGAAGATGATTTGCTGGATGAAGATGATCTCAAAAAACCTGATCCGAGTACTTTAAAAGGTAGTATAACAATTTTATATTTTGTAAAGTTGAAAAGAAATTGTAGATGATTATTTTAGGTTGTATGTTTAATGATACCTGTTGTTTCTTTGAGTCACTTCCAATTTTATTATGCTGTTATTATCATTATCAAATAAACAATACTGATAGTACTTGTAAATAAATCATGCAGCTATTATAAACGTGGACAATGACTACTTTCTCATATGAAATTGCTTCCTGCTGTTTATCACCATTTCATTTCTGTGGTATTCTTTTATGAAACTATGTATAATGTCATTGTATGAGAATTAAATCACTTCCACGTCTTCTAAAATGTACTAAAATCTTCAAAAATGTTGATGGCTTCAGTTTTCATAGCTTTGCTCTGAAACATTATGATTATACAATCCAGAAACATATAATTGTAAAATTGAGTGTTGCACCTGAGGAAAAATAAGTCTAGGCTGATTTTGTAAGCATGTCACAGTCAAAAATATAAAGGCTTCATCATCATCATCATCAAATTACCACCTTCAGAAATTGTAACATGCAAATTACATTTATTGAGTCATCCCAAAAGTTTAGCAGCTTTTTGATAATAAACACAATCAGAGAAGTGCATACTAAAATTCCATTGATTCATTTAAGAACCATTTTGTTCTATGAGTTTTTGCCATCTTAAGCAGCTGGAAATTTTTTTTTTTTTTTTTTTTTTTTTTTTTTTTTTTTTTTTTTTTTAGAGATTCATTGAGTTTATTTGAAAGGAAGTTATTGAGATGCTGTCTGACATTATTCAAAAAAGTGAGTTCTAGGTGGTACAGAGAATTTTGAAGTGCCTTAAAAAAATGTGTGAATATGGGAGGTGGACACAAAACATCCCAAATATACTCTGTTGGACATTCATCAAAATGTAGAACTAAGCATTGTCATGAGAGAAGACAACACCTTAACGATTTGCCATTTCTGGGCACTTTAATATCTACTATTACAGGGTTCGTATGGTCCTTAAGAGTCCTTAAAAGTCCTTAAATTTTTTGTAATCGATTATTGGTCCTTAAAAGTCCTTAATTTTGGCTCAGATCAGCAGAAGGTCCTTAATTTTAATCATCTGAAATTTCTGTCTGTTTTTATGACTGCCATTTTGAGTGTGAATTAGCATTTTGGAGGAATATTTTTGGCGATTCACTGACACATATGGTTATAATTTGTTTTTATTTCTGATATAAATTATGGGATATTTGAGTTTCTAAGCGTGAAGTGAAACATAGGCATTTCAAAATTCATTTTTTCTAATAAAGAAATCTTAAACAATATTTGCTTTTGGGGATGTTAATTTTTTTATTAAACGGTTCCAAATTTGGCGACTTGTCAACATTTTGGCAATTATAAGATCAGTTTCTATAGAAAATTAATTCCGAGATCTGAGAATTTTTCGATGATTTTTTTTAAAACATCACACCATTGATAAATTTCATTAAAAATAATGGTAATATATTGAAATTATATTTTAAAAATAACATTAAAATAAAAGATCTCTATTTTTCGCTGTCATATCATAAATTTCATTTTGGCATCTTATTATACAATATTATGAATCTGAAAAATAAGGCATAATGCTATAAAGTGTAATTTACGAAACAGCTCTTAACAAGAGCAAAATTAGCTATGTAATTAATTAAAAATGTCTTCTTTTTAATTTTTTCATAGTAAGCGTTTTTCCCATCTCAGAATATGCATCAGTTTTCTTTATAAAATTAATTTTACACTTTTTCCCTCCTTTGTTTTTCCAAAATATTTCTTCCTTTTTGCTGTTACAGGATTGGTAGGGATAATTTTTCTCTAGTATTTTAGACATTGCAGCTTGTAAAGTTTAGAGGGATTTGAAGGCAAGATTTATAGACCCACGATTCTAGAAGATTCAAGAAATATGTGACAAAATGAAAAATGTCTCCATAGTATCAACACGTAATGGATGTATTTTACAGAAAGTTTGCGATGAATTTCTTTCCTTTTGGAGAAAGTCTGGAAGAACAATGAAAACATAATATGTAAATGTTTTACTTCTGATTCTAGAATCTTTTTCCTAACATGTTTATCTTCCCTTTATTTTCTCTACTTCTCACTAGACACAAGTATGCAAAATATGAAAACTGCTTCTAATCTTATCACATGGCCAGACATTATAAAAAGGGATTTTTTTATTATTAAATATATTGAAAATTTACAATTTGAAAGATTCATCTAATATGTATTAATGCATCAACACATAGCTGGCACTAAACATTTCCCACCTGATGCAATCTCTGTGGATTCTAAATTCTGCTGTCTAGTGCCTTTCTAAATTCTGCTTCCAATGCCTGCTCTAAATTCTAAAAGTTTTGCTATTTCTAGATTTTGTTTGGTGTGTTACTAAGTTCTAAATATTCTACCACATTAGCTTTGTAACTGGGCTTTACCATATATATTTCATATTTCTTTTGAATGTTCTTATTACTAAAGAAATAAAATTATCCACTTTTTCTATACATTCTAAATGCATTTAGTGTTTTTTAGAATAACCAAAATCCTTAGTTAGATCCAAAAATTCTAAAAGGAAGCGTGTTAAAGAAAGAAACTGAGTACATAAAGAAAATTACTCTTCAAAGATATGTGCAGTTGTTATTATGTAACTTACCTATTGTTTATGATTTCAGCCCTTCAGTTTATGATTCAGTCGAGGGTTTGGGACTATTTGACTTTTACCAGATCAAGTAAACCCTCATAGGTACCTTGTGGAGAGGTTGACAAGTTAGAAGATAAGCACACAGAAACTAGCGAGAGCATTGGTTTGCATATTGAGACAAATCTCTAATTGTTAGAAAAGATGCTTAAAGAGAAGGAAATCGATATAAACTAGCCAAAATGTTTGGGAAGGCTTCAAATTAAAATGAAGGATAAATATTTTGTTCAGTGTTGTTGTTACAAAACATGAATGTTTTGTAGCTTTTAATGTGTATCCTAATATCATTTAAGAATCAATGTCATAAATTATCTATATTTTAAACTGTGAAAATTTATTAGCTTTTGATTTTAATAGGCCTTTTTTAACAAATGTTGTTATATAAAATTTAATAGTGGCCATGTAAATCCTTTATGACTAAGGTTATCTAATTACCTAATTTAATTATTTATAACTAAATGCTTACCCTTAAAAATTATGTCTACATATTAAAGCAAGTTATTGCCTTTCATTAACACTCACTGTGGTCACAAGATAAAACACAAAAATGTAAAAATTCAAGTAAAACTTATTCTTTGCATCTAGTGAAACTTAAAAATAATACAAAACAACTTATCATCTCTGGTACTTTAATCGCTTATTGGAACATTAAAGTGTATATTAACTGGGCTACAACCCCTTGGAACTCTACACAAAGCTATGACACTAACTGCATCAAACAGAGTCTGACTAACTTTCAACACTTCCCAACTGTGTCTACATCAGGCCTTTCAGGTTTGTTCTAATGAGCAGGACTCTCTAATGAGCAGGAAATCTCTCTAGACAAGCAACAGCGGTGACAACCTTCAGTCTTTTGTTATGAGTCATGCTGATTATGATCTTACTTCTCATTTTAACCTATGCCTTTTGACATAAAATCTACCTGCTATTTACTAATCCTCTAGACTAAGTATGTGACAAAATGAGACATAAAAAAATCAACATAAAGCTAACTATTAGTAAAATGTAAATGTCACTTATCGTCTTTCAAATATGTCCAACTATTATAAGTGTAAAATAGTTAATGCTACTTGATAAATTTCATACAGTTTATTTTATTCTCAAACTTATTAATAATTATGTTAATTAATTCATGTTTAGTAATAATGCATACTACTCAGGGATCTATTTTATTTTTAAAATGGTGTTACAAAAGTGAAAATCAGGCTTAAAATAATATTTTTAATTGAATTTATTCAGTTCCCATTTGTTCATAGGTCCTTAATTTTTCATTAATGGTCCTTAAAAGTACCTAATTCCTGTGTGCAGAAATGTGTACGAACCCTGTATTAAGATTGCCATTTGGAAATGGTGGTTTTTTTTTTTTTTTTTTTTTTTAACTTATTGTCCAAAATTGTCAGTAACAGTTCATAGTAGTCCCACCTTACACAAATCAATACTTTATTGGGATACAGCCCCACCTCTCAAAGATTACTAAAAGAGGTTCTTTTGGTATACACTTCTCATCTTCAGTAATGAACTGTTTCAAAAAAGGAGTTTCTTTATTTCTTTTCAGAAAAAGAATTGCATGTTGAAACTCGAGCAAGCATATTCTGCTCTGTTAAAGTACGAGGTACCTGTACATCATGGTGGCTTATATACCAAATCTTCTTCAAATTATTAGATGATAAAATGCTTATTGGAATCTTTAATCTCTTGGATTGTTCCTGGGCTGTAAAATATTGATTTTCAGTGATAGCTTCTTTTAATAGGTCTCTGTTTACAGATGATGATCATCCAAAGAGGGCATCACATTCGAGGCTGAAATTTCTGCGTTTAAATTTCTGAAACCATCTTCAAACTACGTGGGAGAAATAGTTCGTTGTCCATGCACAGCACAAATTTTATTAGCTATTGACTAATACTTTTTCCTTTTTAAAAATAAAAGAACATGACAAGAGGAAAATTAACTGTTGACTCTGTTTTTAGCACTGCACTAAAAAAAAAATTATACTAGAACACATGAAAAATTTTGCAGCATCAGCGGAAAAGACTGCAGTTAAACATCTGTCTTGACCAACATTTTGTCTTATCATTTAAACATCTGTCTCATTCCTTATCAACAGTAGAAACATAATTAGAAGAAAACATGTTGTGATTGAAAAAAACCACAGAACTTTCTGGCTGACCCAATATAATCCTATAATTGTTTTCAGTATATGTGTACATAGTCATGTTCCGTCAGTTTCCAATTTGTATGACATTTCTGTTAATTTTTCCGAGTGGCAACAGTCACTGGAGATAAAAATCAAGGCTATAT